GTCTGAGGTGGCCCTAAATCGTACTCTCACATTCCGGTAGGTCTGCGCACTTTCTGTGGATTGCATCGCTCCGTATCGCGAAAACGTAGCTGGGACGTGAAACCGAAACCCTAAACGCCTAAACCCTAAACCCTAAAACCTAAACCGCAAAACCTAAAGCCTAATAAACCCCCAGGACAAAGTACATAGAAATTGTATGTTGTATCATTCTGAATTTGCCAAGTTGTTTGTCTGAGCAGCTGACAAGCCGAGCTGAAGCAACTTGATCCAATTCGCCTTTGGAGGCCACAAAAAAACCAAGGAGAACCCTAAACCCTAAACCCTAACCTAAACCCTAAACCCCAAAGTTGCACCAGGGATTCTTGAGGGTCCAGGGCGCGGAGTCCTGGCGGAGGGCTTGAGGCAGCACCCCCCGAAACGGAAGAGTCGACTTGTACTTTGTGTGCAGCCTACCCCGCACAAAAAAAGGAATTGGTTGCGGGCTTAGGGTGTAGGGTTTAGGGTTAGTTCGTTTCGTTGAACAAGTTTCGTTGCAACCTTTCATGGAAACAGTTTCGTTGGAAGCGTTTATTTGCAAACCCAAAAAATCGGATCCAATTTGAGATAGTTGAAATCCTATTTACACGTGTCCCACCTAGCCGTGGGATTCAAAAACTTCGCGTCTGGCCACGTTTCGTTTCCCACCGAGCCATGGGATTCAATGATTATGAAAGAAAGTCTAGAAGACAAAGGTTTCGTTAACCAAAATTAAACAATTTCGTGAACAACAATTTTGTGACAAGACACGTCTCGCTGAACAAGTTTCGTTGAGAACGTTTCTTTGAACACGTTTCGTTGAAAAGTTTTGTTGACAACGTTTTTGGGACCCAAACCCTCTACACAAAAACAAGGGACCCCCTAATATACCCCCCAAATAGTAGGATTTACCTTAGAATAAGGACCCCTACTTCGGAAATCCCACACTAAACCCTAAACCCTAAACCCTAAACCCTAAACCCTAAACCCTAAACCCTAAACCCTAAACCCTAAACCCTAAACCCTAAACCCTAGACCCTAAACCCTGAACCCAAAACCCTAAACCCTAAACCCTAAACCCAAACCCTAAACCCTAAACCCTAACCCTAAACCCCAACTCTGTAAACCCACGGCTCCGACAGCTTTCGCTCCGTGCATCCATTCTAGAAGTTGGGCCCCCTGGTGACTCCACCAACTTCTAGGGTTTAGGGTTTAGGGTTTAGGGTTTAGGGTTTAGGGTTTAGGGTTTAGGGTTTAGGGTTTAGGGTTTAGGGTTTAGGGTTTAGGGCTCAGAGACATGCAACCAAACTTCTAGTTGAATGCCCTGAGCCACAAAAGGCTAACCTTTCAATTATGGTAGGATTACACACGCACACATGTGTATATATATATATATATATGTATATTTATGCCCAAAATGTGTGTACCCAAAATGGTTAAGGTTACCTACTCAGCTACGAAGCCTTCGCACGGAAGAGTTGCTACTATTGCGGTTCTTCTTGCTATCATTCTTGGTGCTCCTATTTTGATGATCTATATTGATGATTAGTGCTATTGTTTCTACTTCTTGTTGTTCTTACTGCTTTGTAAGTGCTCCCGACATTTTTATCATGGCCGGAAACCGTAGTCATTCCAACAGTGCTTGGATGCAAGCACTGTTGGAAGAATGAACAAGAAGCTGTTCCCCACCTGAGTTACTGCAAATGTGTTGCCGATGCCGCCCTGGTGAATCCGGATCTGAGGAAAAGACGTCCTTACATGGCTTTGGAGCATCTTGTCGGTAGGCAAAAATGATCGCTTCGAACAGGCGTCGTCTGCTGAGAGCTCTCTGGAGAGCCAATTCCTCTAGAAGACATATGCTGGAATTGCTCCAAGGCACGGCGTTCCGAAATCGACGAGCACCCACTGCCCTCCAACCTTCGTCTCCTCCCAGCAGCTACAACTGAGGCCAACGTCATAGTCACCCTCCCACCTCAATTCTTGCCGGCTGCCAGAAGCATCTTACGCGCACCATGCGCATTCAGCACAGCCAGCGCTTTGAAGAAATCAAGCGCTTAAACTCCACCTAACTGCACAATCGTTGGGGTACTATATATGGTGCTATTTAATAACGCTCATTCTTGTTCCTTATTGGGTCGAAGTATTCATAGACATGTAACATGATTTAACCCTAAACCCTGCACCCTTAAACCCTAAACCCTAAAACCCTAAACCCGAAACCCAAAACCCAAAACCCACCCAGCCAAGCTGCCAGTCGACCAGATTTCTGTTGAAGGCAAGGTCGGGCGTTCTCGATTTTCCCGAACCAGAGGAGCTGATCACTGTAGGGGTCTGCTTGTTGCCAAGTGTGTCGAAGAACTCCACCTGGCTCTGGGGACATTAGGGTTTAGGGTCTAGGCCGGCCCCAGATAAATCTCGTTTCGAGACTTCTGGGCCCTAAACCTTGAAGCCCAAACGTGCCCAAACCACAAGGCTTCTGGCTATTGCGTTTCGGGTTTAGGGTTTTGGGTGACAAGGGTCCCCCGGTTACCTTCCTCTTTGCCGGGATTGGTGCTGGGCGCGGCGGTGAAGAAAGAGCTCTCTTCCCGAGTTGCATTCTTGCGAGAGGATACTTTCCCCAAAGGGTCCAAAAAATGCCTATATGGGGGACACTTCCCCAAACCATGATAGTACAGTATGACAGAAGCCCTACATGAATGCTATGCGGGTACTTAGGATCCTTTGGGTTATACAGTGAGCAACCCATATTATTCAGATGGGCTTAGGGTTTAGGGCTACCTTACGCAACGCCCAACATGTCTGGGCCTGCGCCCACGTCACGGCCCCTCGAGCAAGGCTCGTATTGATGGGATTCACTTTGCCGACATGACTTGCCAAGAGTTAAGAGTTTAGGGTATAGGGTTTGCGGACTTTAGGGTTTAGGGTTTAGGGTTCAGGGCTTAGGGTTTAGGGTTTAGGGTTTAGGGCAGGACAGCCGGCTCCCTACAATCCGTGATGTGACGTCAGGCACGGTTGCCTAGGCTGCCCAGTAACCTAGGCTTAAAAAGGGTGCCCTTTTTTGCTTAAAGGGGTTTATAAGGGAACCTAAACCCCCCAAAAAGGGAATAAGGGCACCACTGGGCATCCTAGTTGCCTAACCCAAGCCCCAAACACTAAAGAAACACGAGCTCTCAGCAAGTTAACGTAGCACTGGGGGTTTGAACTGAGGAGCAAAAGCTTGGAGCGTGTTAGCGGGATCATCTTAAGATGCGGGATACAGGGGCCCCTCTCCTTGCTCCAGTGTGTAAATTCTATCAGAGCCCTAAACCCTAAACCCTAAACCCTAAACCCTAAACCGACTCTGAATTTCACAAGAAGACCAAGAAGTTGAAGTCATGAAGGGCATAAACCTGCTAAGCCCCAGCAGGTTTAGGGATTGGGGGTTAGGGTTTAGGGTTTAGGGTTTAGGGTTTAGGGCTGCCCGCTTGCCTCGTAGAGATCCCAGCTCGCGCCGCAGGACGTGTGGGATACACAGCCGGCATTGGACACGCGGTAGTACCGGTGCGCATTGTATGGATTGCACACAGCCCTTGCAGTAGGAGCCTGCGTGGTTCTACTTCGACTTGCTGCAACACTGCGAAAAGTCAGGTTTGAGGGCTTACGGGGTGCAGGCGTTTTGGGGATATTAGGGTTTCAAGGGAGCATGCAAGAAAAACGCAACAAAGGATGCTTAATTACAGCTATGATCATGCTCTAGCATTGGCCTGCCAAGCAAAGGAGTTAGACTACCAACCTTTGACGTTGCACGTCCCAACATAACAACTGACTGCTCGTGCTTGAAAGCCTAGATGCTGAGCACCGCAAAGGATAACCTTTCCTAGTTCATGGTTGGGATAGTATTAAAAAATTGATGGATATTCCTTATTGGGTTTAAGTACCCTTAAAAGTGTAAAATGTTACGCAACTATGACAAAGTTTTAGGTATGGTAGTATTATACACACCACGAAAGGTTAAAGGTCACCTACTCGGCTGTTTTACAGATGTTTACTTTAGGGTTTAAGATTTAGGGTTTAGGGTTTAGGGTTTGATGATGAATCTCGTGTCCCCCAACGACTGTCACTTGTGCCATCAAGGAGGCTTCGAGCACTGAACGGCGGCTAGCGGTTACAAGAGCGCCACGCCCGAATAAGTAGCTGACCTAAGACTAAATGTGAGGGATTTCAGAATCCATCAGGACTTTAATGGCGGGAGGCGGATGCGCTCGTGGTAGTCGTGGTTGTTGTGTAGAGCTCGCCATCGCCCAAGCACAGTGGCGGAGAAACCGTCAGCAAGCTGCAGAGAAGAGCTGCGACAACAGGAGCCATCTTGCTATTTCTATTGTTGCTGCTGCCTTTGCCGCTACTACGATTGCTGTCATCACGATCATCGACATTTCGCAGGAAGCCAAGAACATCGCTGACAGCAACATTCAAGTATGCTATAGTTAATCTATAGCAGACGTTCATGCAACACTACTGCAGATAATTTCCATATGATACGGCAGTTAAAAACTGCAATGCTGAGAAATGGCAGCGGTCACCGCGAGCGACCCTGACTAGACCCAGAAATCGAAAACTAGATTGGGCAGTTCTCGAAATTAGGGTCCCTTGTTGGGATCCCTTGCTATAAAGGGTGCCGCCTTACAATGGGCACCTCACAAAAGGGACCCTAATTTAGGAAACTACCCTAGATGCAGGGTTTTAAGGCTTAAGGTTGTGGGCTGAGGATGCGAGGTGAAGCCCTTCAACTACAGTCTCACGAGGGCTTCGTGGCGGACAGCATGAGGATGTGTATTATCATAAGCCTATTAAAACCCTAAACCCTAAACCCTAAACCCTAAACCTTAAACCCTACACCCTAAACCCTAGACCCTGTTAAACGCTAAACTCGAAAGCTTCTCTCTGATTTGAAGCAGTGAAATTATATCCAGGCTGCGTGTTGAAAGCCTTGAAGCAATCTTGAAGTGCTAGAGCCTGGGGCACGGGTTTAGGGTTTAGGGTTTAGGGTTTAGAGTTTAGGGTTTAGGGTTTGGGGTTTAGGGTTTAGGGTTTAGGGTTTAGGGTATAGTCTATGGCTTAGACACCACGTTTCTAGCTGCAGCTTTGTAGATACCGGAGCTCAGAGCCCAAGTGATAAGTGTTTAGGCTTGGGGCTTAGGGAAGCAGGGAATTAGGGCCCTATATACCCTTTAAGGGATGATATAGGGTATAGGGTTTAGGGGTACCTCATTCCCTCACTCCCTCCTCTGAACCAGCCAGGTCGGGGAGTAGGCCTGGGTCGGGTTCCATCAGGAAAACGCTGGCAGCTCTGCAACTTTGGATGCGGAGGTCCCTAAACCCTAAACCCTAAACCCTAAACCTTAGGGTCTCCCTTTGTGCAGATCCTAGACTCCTCAACCAACCTCCAGCCTCTATCGCCCATATGGGGGTTTCCGAAACTAGGAGCTTAGGGTTTAGGGTTTAGGGTTTTGGGTTTAGGCTTTACGGACCAAATTTTAACCCCAAAGGGTTTATGGTTCACATGGGGGTTTACGATATTAGGGGCCCCTTATTGGGGTCCTTATTATAAGGGAATCCTACTATTTGGGGGTCTATATAGGGGTCCCTTATATTCGTAAAAACCCCCCCATATTTGAATGACACCGTGAATCCAGGTAACAACACAGTGTGTGTGTGTGTGACACATGGAAGTCCAGACGAGCTTCAGTTTAGGGTTTAGGGTTCTACTATTTGCTTAAGAAGCCCCCAAAAATAAAAATAATGATCCCTATATTACTCTTATAAGGAAGAACTGTCTTTGTGTTTTTTGGGGTTCTTAAGCAATTGGTAGGGTTTAGGGTTAGGGTTTATAGGGTATAAGGTATAGGGTTTAGGGTTTACTTAGGGCTCATCTCGCTGTAGCAGCTGCTGGGCTTTCTTTCATGAATCTACACGCGGCCTGCACAAGCCATCCGTATCAAATCCGACAGTCGCAACCTGGCTGCCAGGACTGAGGCAGCAGTGAGGGTTTACTACTACTACTACTACTACTACTACTACTACTACTACTACTACTACTACTACTACTACTACTACTACTACTACTACTACTACTACTACTACTACTACTACTACTACTACTACTACTACTACTACTACTACGACTACTACGACTACTACGACTACTACGACTACTACCACTACCACTACGACTACTACGACCACTACGACCACTACGACCACTACGACCACTACTGCGACGACGACGACGACGACGACTACTACTACTACTACTACTACTACTACCACTACGACCACCACGACCACCACGACCACCACGACCACCACGACCACCACGACCACCGCGACCACCGCGACGACAACGAAAAACACGACCACTACCACTACCACTACCACGACCACCACCACGACCACCACCAACACCACGACCACCACCACCACCCCCACCACCACCACCACCACCCCCACCACCACCACCACCACCACCACCACCACCCCCACCACCACCACCACCACCACCACCACCACCACCACCACCACGACCACCACCACCACGACCACGATTGAGTTTAGGGTTTAGGGTTTAGGGGTCAGTGTCTAGGGCTTCGGGGCTAGGGTCTCGGGCCTCGGGCTCTAGGGTTTAGGGCTTGAGGTTTGGAGTTTTTGGGTTGAGGGCGCCTTGCTTCTGGATTGAGATGGCTCGGCCTTGTGCTGTTCATGCTTTCACCTGAATCCTGAGGCCCTAAACCCTAAACCCTAAACCCTAAACCCTAAACCCTAAACCCTAAACCCTAAACCCTGAACTCAAATCCTATTCCCGTCCTGGTACAGCCTTCATTCCCTTAAAGCTCAGAAAATCCACGATCAAGCCGACGGCAGAGCCTGGGTCTAAGTACATATTATGTGCATATATAAATACCCACACATATATCTATATATATATATATATACCTGAACGAATATATTAGACATATGCTAGATATGCGTAACTATATACTACATGTATACTACACACATACTACATATATACTACATATTCCAACTACATATATACTACATATATACTACTTAATTATACACTACATACATATATACATATATATATATAATATAATATATAATATACATATATATATATATATGTACGTACATCTCTGCGCTGGAGATTTTTTGATGGCCCGGCAACCACAGGCCGGGCCGACCAAGTTCGGGTAGCGCCTCCGCAGCTGCGCCAGGGCTGCAAAGAAGGAGAGGCAAGGCCTTGCCCTAAACCCTAAACCCTAAACCCTAAACCCTAAACCCTAAACCCTAAACCCTAAACCCTAAACCCTAAACCCTAAACCCCTAAACCCCTAAACCCCTAAACCCCTAAACCCTAAACCCTAAACCCTAAACCCTTGGCGCTTCTGGGGTGGCAGGCTGTGAGGGTGCTAGGGTGCTAGGGTGTTAGGGTGCTAGGGCGCTAGGGTGCTAGGGTGTTAGGGTGTCAGGGTGTTGGGGTTCTAGGGTGCTGGGGTGTGAAGGTGTTCAGGTGTGAGGGTTTGAGGCCGGGGTAAATTTCAGATTGTGCAGGAGCCGTCCCTCACGAACACTGGCTGAAAATTCTGGAGATGGCCCACATCACGATGCGCTTATGTTTATTGAGAAGGTTACCACATTCCTGCAAGCTGGTTCGGAAGTAAGGGCACTCCAAGAGGAAGACTAGCAGGCCAGTTTACCTACAGAAATGGGCTCTATTCAAGGAAGATTTTAGGGTTTAGGGTTTAGGGTTTAGGGCTAGGCTCAACAAAATCTGTCCAAGCTAGATCCTGCACCTGCTAGGATATTCGCCACTTGGATGCAATATACCGTATGGACCCACTCCCAAACATCTAAATTGCTGTCCACCTCACACATCTCACACGAAGCATCTCCAAATAAATTGCTACTTCAGAAAAGCAAACCTTGCAGAGATAAAAAGACTTGCCAGATACATGTGCATCTGTCTAGTCAGGATCGACTTATAGTAAACAGAGCAGCAAAGATTGGCCGAATTCTATCGCAAACATTCTTTGTAGCAGAGATATGTGCAATAACTCAAGGTAGTTTTGTAGGTACTTATGTGTCTTCAGCTGAGACGAGATTTAGTTGTAGAACAACAACCTGCGAGCAAAGCGGGTTCTGGGCGGAAGTAGGGCTTCAGGCACAGTTTTGCGTTTCGCAGCAGGTTCAAAACATTTTGCGCTTTTCCTTCATTTCTCGCCTTTCATTCGATGGCGGATTGCTGAGGGCTTCAGGGTTTGGGGCTCTTCCAGCTGCCCTTTTCTCGTACCTAACTCAATCCACGTGGAAAATTAGGGGTACAGTAGCTTTTTGGGGTTCCTTTAAAGGGATTATGTAGTGTTTTGGGGTATATAAGGGGTACCCCTGTTTTCGGAAACCCCCATGTGGGCCTCGGTGGGATCTGGTTCCAGAAGCCTTGGGATCTTGGCCTCGACCCCCGGGCCCTCCGCCCAAAAACCCCGCACTGACGCACCGATAGGGTTCAGGCTACAGGGACCTAGATCTCATGGTGCCCCAAAAGCCTTGAACACCTTCTGAAACCCCCACAACCCCCCCCCCCCCCCCCCCCCAAAAAAAAAAAAAAAAAAAAAAAATATATATATATATATATATGCCCCGAAACCCAAACAAACTAGCAAACGTGGCTCGGACGCTTTTTTTCTAAGCTCAAAACGTGCGCTCGCGCACTGGGCTCACGCACTGGCTCGCGCGTTGTTGGGTCTGGTCGTCGAGCGATGAAGAAAAGGTGAAAATCGAGCTCTCAGGGCTCCGCAGGGAGCATGACCTTAAGGGTTATAGGGTTTAGGGCTTATTTGGGGTTTATTTAGGGGTTTATTAAGAGCTTGTTTAGGGCCTATGGTCTGGTGTATAGGGTCTAGGGTATGTAGGGTATAAGATTGGATGAGTCTTAAGTGTTTATTGCTGTATTATCAGAATTATTATTATTATTATTGCTTTTTTTTTTTGGGGGGGGGGGGGGGGGGGGGGGGGGTAATGAGACCTTGCAAACCCCGAAGAAACGCCCTCAAAATACATGAAGAACCTAACCAGAACCGAACGCCTTCAAGACCCCTCAAAACCCTTTCAAGCCCGGGCAAACCCTGCAATTAAATGCTCTGAGCGCCTCCTACCAAGCCTACCACCCCTGACAAAGACTGGAAGAGTCCTAGACCATATCACACTGAAACTCCAAGCCTTACTTCGCCTTTACTCCTGCCTGGTAAACCCAGAACCCTAAACCCCAAACCCTACCAGAACCCTAAACCCTAAACCCTAAACCCTAAACCCTATAACCCTATAACCCTATAAACCCCAAACCTAAATACCCAAAACCTGGGGCCAGTGCATACGGCGTCGGCGCTGCCTCCGGCACGGTGGGATCTTTCGGCTCCTCCTGGAGAGCGTTGCCGGTTTGGGGTTTAGGGTTTAGGGTTTTGGGTTTAGGGTTTAGGGTTGAGAGGTTTACCACAACACCTAGTGCTCAGCAGCAATAGCAATGACCACTGATTCAGTCGGCATATCCCACGAAACCGCAGGTAAGTGGAGGAATGCACAAAACGGGGTGCCCTTGCATGGCCGGGTGTATAAGGGAACCTCCCCCCAAAAAGTAAGTTCGGAAGAAAAGGGGCGTCCTTGCCCATAAAAAGGTCCCGGAATATCCGAGGAAGAAGAAAAAGGGGCCCTTTTCTGTTTAAAGTACCTAGCGGCTTATAATGAAGGAATCTATCCCCCAAGAACAAGCGAATATGGGCTTGTTTCTTCGCAGGATAAGGGGGATGATCTTGGGAATTATGTCGGCAAAGATACCAAAGGCTCAACCGACGCTGCGTTCCTAAAGCGCATCTCCTGTGTTCAAAAAAAAAACGGTATGCCGGTATGTCATATGTAGGCCAGCTTCCCCAGAAACTTAGCAATACAGAGGGCGCACTTGTCTGCTTGGTAAGGGGCCAAAAATGGAAACCAAGCCCATAAGGAAGGGGAAACACAAAGGTGTGCCCTAAACCCTAAACCCTAAACCCTAAACCCTAAACCCTAAACCCTAAACCCTAAACCCTAAACCCTAAACCCTAAACCCTAAACCCTAAACCCTATAGCCCTTAAACCGAGCGTTCGTCCAGGCTTTGTACGTTGCGGATTTAGAGGTGTGGGACATGGGTCAGTGCGCATTCTTGAGGATCTTGGGGCGGTTGTGGGTTTAGGGTTTAGGGCTTAGGGCTTAGGGTTTCGTGTTTAGGGCGAGCTTCTTCTGCTTCTGTTCAGCAAGGGGCCTTGTGTCTACAAAACGTACATGCCGGACGTCAGCAGCCAGAGATGCCAATCACACGAATCTCCGGACTTGATCAACAAATGTCGTCGAGGCACCAGAAGACTGCGAACCGCCGGGAAAAGATCACCTACTAATTGCTTATAAGAACCCCGGAATAACAAATATTCTCCTTGTTAAGGGCAATATAGGGATGGTGATTTTGAATTCTTTTGGGGTTCTTGAGCAAATAGTAGTCACGGAATCCTGTGCTGCCTGAAACCGCAAGAAAGAAACGAACGGAGAAACTCAACTACCTCCATCTTCAACAGAAGCCCAAACAAACCCTTAAAGAAGCCTCATATGGGGTCGACGAACCATTTGGGGGCCCAGTAAAGCACTGCCTACAACCCCAAACCCTACAATCTACAATCCTGCAACCCTCCCCGAAACTGCCAAACCCAAGAAGCCCAAACTAAGAAGCCCGAAAACCCTAAACCCTCCACTCTAAACCCTCAACCCTAAACTCGAAACGCTGAACCCCGAAGCCTTAAACTCTAAACTCTAAACTCCCAGACACCCCTATTCAGCCCCTAAACCCAAAAACCCTAAACCTTCAACCCTCAACCCCCTAACCCCCTAACCCCCTGAACCCCTAAACCCCTAAACCCCTAAACCCCCAAACCCCCAAACCCCCAAACCCCTAAACCCCTAAACCCCAAACCCTAAACCCTAAACCCTAAACCCTAAACCCTAGCCCTAAACCCTAAACCCACATTCTAGTCCTCCTGAGGTTCCTTGGGCTCGCGTGCGAAGGCCTTTCCACCTCGGGCGTAGACTGCGTACAGCGCGCCGAAGGCTGCGGTGCCGAAGCCCAAGTAGAACCAGAACCTGGGGGTTTAGGGTTTAGGGTTTAGGGTTTAGGGTTTAGGGTTTAGGGTTTAGGGTTCAGGGTTTAGGTTTAGGGAGTTGGGGATTTGGAGGTTTAGGGGTTAGGTTTTTTTTTTGATTTCATGCGTGCTGGTGTTTTAGTGGGGCACTGTTGCGGGTGCTGGGTTGAGAGGTGCGGGTCCTGGGATTTTAGGCTTTACTTGGAAAGGGTTTCGAGCTTCGAGGACGTGTGGGCCTTGATAGGGGCCCTAACAATTAGAATAGGTTTTTGGGGGGCCATTATACTAGCATTGTATAGGGGCCATAAAGGAATACTAGTAGTAAATATTCCGACCCAAATCATTGTTATCTTCAAGAGGTCTGGGGCGGATATGAAGGCCGTATCCTACCTCGGTGCTCTCCCGCCTACGTGGCCTGCTTTGCCATGCGTTACAATGACAGCCCGCCCCTCACCCCCGCCTTCCCCCCCCCCCCCCCCCCCCCCCGCAAAAATTCTAGGAACTTTAAGCAACCCAAAAGAACCCAAAAGAGAGAACGTGATTCAGAACCCTAAACCCAAAGCCCTAAAGCCCTTTGAAGGCCAACCCAAAACCCTGTTGAATGCCATCAAGCCACATGTTGAACGAGTGGTACGTCAAGCCATCCTGTTGAGTGAGCTTGCAAAAGGGGCTCTAAAAACTGGAATGGAATTTGGGGGGGGGGGGGTAGCTCTTGTTACATTCGTATGGCCAATTTCCTAAAGTATGGTCCTTTTTGAGTTCTCATTATAAGGCGGCCCCTCTTGTTTAGTGTACCCGAACAGGGACCCTAATTTTGAGAACTGACCATACGGGGACTATTGGGCTGTGAGGGGAAACTACTGGGAAGTTTCCAGGCTCCTGTGTTACGCCACCTGCAAGCAGGCTCAGGGAACTTGGCAACAGGGGCTTTGTCTCTCATGAGGATAGCCTTTGAGTATAGGACGCCTGGAAGGCAATAACGCTTTGCTGATCTTTGCTGACTAGCCAAAAACCCTGAGCCCTAAATCTCAGAATGAAGCTCCGACTCCACGCAAGAAAAAACGCTCGCACCCTGCTACAGTTGC